ATTATGTTATGAATAACAAGCAAAAGGGACAATTAGTTATGGACTTGCGTTTGAAATATAAAATCTCAGAATAGGCTTTTTTTTTTTTTTTTTGCTCATTTACTGTAGAGGTAACAGTTTGCTATATACTCATCTCTAACTAAATATTGATATAATTGTTATATGGGTAAACGTACTATATGGTTCCATTTGTGTCAAGACTTTCTAATCTATATCATATGCTTTGGAAAGCATAACAATTTTTTAGTGATTCTTCAGTAGTGGGTATAGGCAACATAATGTACAGAATAAAATATAGACATCTACATAAGCTCCATTTTAATTTAAGAAACACCATTGAAAGGTGTTGCTCCCAACTACTATTTCTGTAATGCCACCATTCTGAAAAATTAGTATAGGGATTTGGAATCACTAAAGGCACAAGAAAGTGCTAGATGATATGTGAACATTAAAAATATATCTGATTCTTGTGGGAATTTTTAAACAAACATTGGCCATGTAATCTATGCAAAGTAAAAGACTGAATCAGGAGATCCTTTACTTTTCATCTCTCCCACATTTGTCCCAAAATCTGGTTTTGCCAAGTCTTTACTTCTTCTGTGATAGACTGCAAAGTATAGGGGAAACTAATAGCATGATATAAGAGGGGAAAAGAATAGAAAACATAGGGACAAAAGGAAAAATTATAATATTTCAGACAGCGATGTCAAATTAGTGCACTAAACAAGAAAAAAAAAAACAAATTTATTCTTTGGGTCTAAAATTATCGATTTACAGACAGTTTGATTGTTATGCATAAGCCATGCGCTACAGCTTTAATAGAATTTTTTTGTAAGAGCAAATTTTCAAGGCAATTGTTTTCTCTAAGGGGTAGTAAGTGTTGAGATCATCTATTATATTTTGAATCCCAGGGTGCAAAGTGGATCTCTTTCATATTGTAATACTGAGTTTGGCAGCCAATGTGATGTGTGTAATAATGGCTCTATAATTCTTTTTAAAACCCATAATGTCTATATGTAATAGGGTTATTTCTATACAGGGAAGTCTCCAAATGTAAAATAAACATTTATTTCCTCACAGAATTCAATAATTTAGATTAACAATGGATGTGAATCAGTGAACCTAAATTTCCACACTTTTTCTAACACAGATGAAACAGCTACGTAAAATAAAAATAGCTTGTATAGGATATTATACCACCTATGAATATTTTCTGATATGTTTCCCAGTGGTGTGAATAGTGTAAACTGGCAAACAAACTTTGTACTGCATCCCATCTGAGCATTGCGTGAGCACTGTGTAAATATTGTTCTACTTTGGAACAGGTTATAAAATACTGAGATCACTTTACAACAGAAGTTGTAATTTATAAATTGCAGTTTTTCAGTGTACAGCAACTCAGATCTTTTAGGCCACAGTGGTAAATTTCTAACATCAATTGTAGGCATCAGTAGTAATTTGCTGCATAGATTCAGGATAGAGCTCAATCCACATTTGCCATTTAAATCACCTATAGTGGTCTTTCCACATGGTTTTCTAAAGAACTGGAAGAAAAAGGATCAAACACACTAGCGGTAGTTTAATGTTTCGAGATGGACTAGAGTAAGGTGGACACTGCAGCTGTCCATGCATCTATAGCAGCTTGTAAAGTAGAAAAACTGGATGGAACAATCACTGTATCGTTCTAAATAGCCAAGAGTAAGAATTTTCCATTACTAAAAAGTTACGCAAAATGTCTTCATAGTTGACCGTAATTTATCCTCATTGAATGTCCAGCAGTACCAGTAGTATTTAATCTGGTACAACAGGGTTGCTTGGTAGTAAAAATACAAATGAGAGAGGCCCAATCCACCTATATTTTTATGTTTAGAAAAGATTACAACTCTGAATTCTAAGCTTCTTATAATTCTATACATACTGATTAAGGCATTTTTGGATGTCATTAGAAAAAGACTTGGGGGGGGGGGGGGGGGGTGCAGGACAAGCACAAAAGATTCAGCTCCTTTGCAAAAACAAATCATTTAAAAAAAAAAGCCACAATTCCTGCAGTAGAGAGCTCAAACCTCGTGTTCGTGGGATTTTGCATTGTTAAGTTCATAAAAGGACATGTTACTGAAGGTAGCTAAAGTGGATTGGAGACTAGTTTCTGACTTGATGTGGTCAGAAATGATCAGGAAGACACATCAGCAAACAATCCTATTAAATGATCTAATTTTTCCACTGTGATCCCTTTAATGGTTAAATCTCCTCGAATACTTTGCCTCACTGGTTACATAACCATCGTAAATATAATAGAGGGTAAGGGTCACTCTTGTCTACTTTAATTAGTAATTGTAAACTCATTTGAAAGTATACCATTAACAAACAGAGGATGGCAGAAAACATGTTCTCAATTTTTTTTTTAAAGTAAGTTGAATAGATGTTTAGTACCATCAGGAGTGAGTAATGTATACATTTGACCGATATTGGTAACATTTTCATAAATATAGGACTATAAGCAATTAGCTAAAAGTGCTACATCCCTAACGCATATACATAAAGCACTTAAAAACAAAGTCGATTTTTAAGGCATAACAATATATTTTTTATATATAAAAGAGCCATTTAGGAGCTGTAAGTTAATGAGCAACACAAGGTTCTTTTATGTAAAAAAATACTGAATAAAACAGACATACATATTTTAAAACATTTGCTGTGCCTTAAAAATCTAATTTGCTTTTTAACTGCTTTATATTTTCATATATATATATATTATATATATATATACACACATATATAAAACTGAATTTTCAGTTGTATGTCTCTTGCCTGCTTGGGCTAAGGGGGAAGCTGCACGCCCCCCCGCGACCGCTGTGTCCACCATCACTAGTGATCACAGCTGTTGTGAATAGTTGACCCATGGTTAAACCATTCATGACAGTGGAAAACATTGCTGTTACCATGATCTTCATTGTAACAGCAAACAAAGGGTAAAAAAAATCCCTGATCACCCCTTATTATGGTGACACTGAACTACTCTGATGCAAAAAAAAAAAATAGTACATTTTACACCAGTCAGTATGTCCCTGATCACTGCCCGATCAGTCATATGATAATGCAGTACTGCACTTGTGGCAGTATGTAAAAAAAAAAAATTATGAAAAAAAAATTGTATTCAATTTCTTATTTTCAAAAAAGTGTAACAATTACAACTTCAAACAACTTGTCATGACAATATGTCTCAGACTGTCTACTTTAAATAAAGGGGTCATTTAGGGGGTAACTGTACTGCCCTGGTGCTATATATGTGTGTGTACTGTGTATATATATATATATATATATATATATACACACACACACACACACACACACACTATATTGCAAACGTATTGTGACTCCTGCCTTTACACGCACATGAGCTTTAATGGCATCCCAGTCTTAGACTGTAGGGTTCAATATTGAGTTGGCCCACCCTTTGCAGCTATGACAGCTTCAATGCTTCTTGGAAGACTGTCCACAAGGTTTAGGAGTGTGTCTACGGTAATGTTTGACTATTCTTCCAGAAGCGCATTTGTGAGGTCAGGCACTAATGTCGGACCATAAGGCCTGGCTTGCAGTCTCTGCTCTAATTCATCCCAAAGTGTTCTTTTGGGTTGGGGTCAGGACTCTGTGCAGGCCAGTCAAGTTCTTCCACTCCAAACTCAGTCATCCATGTCTTTATGGACCTTGGTTTGTGCACTGGTGTGTGAGATGGAGAAACAGCTCTCATTGTTTGAACACTGTTTGTGTGGAGTAAATTAAATGTTTTGACTGACATTCTGCGGTTTAGCCACAAGATGCCACTGTTTTTCTAACACAGCCTCAGACTGCCTAGATATTTCTATATTCATGAAGAGGTGGGGTTTTCACACAGAGTTTAGAGAAAACAGGAAGAAGAGGGAGAAGCCATGTTTTAGAGGATGGTGACTGAAGGAGCCATGTGAGCAGATAATCTGATGGCATCCAGGTGTGAGAACATACCTCAGTAACCAGAGCTGCAGCGAAGTGAAGCTGAGCGTGTCCAAGACCCTGATCCTGTTTAGAGAAAGGAAGATTGCTGCCAGGAATGCTGATGAGAGCAGAGGAACTAAGCAGCATATACTGCGATACCGCATGCTTGTTGGAGAGACATTTGTTCTATTCAGAGTCACCAGCGGATGCAAAGGAGTCGGTAAGATCGTGCAGGCACCTCATTTCAGTGTTGGCCCCTAGAGACTGAGACCAGGCCTATAGTTAGTTACTTAGGGTTTCTGTTTGTGTCAGGCCACAAGTGTTGTTACTGATTATTGGAAGGACTCCACAACTTAGAGTGACATTTCAAGTTGGAGAGGTGATAAAATCCCACAAACTCAAGCCACACTGGCGTTTTGCTCAGAAGGAATACTCAGGCACGTGCTACAGGACCAGTTATGGGAGGGGGAATACTGTAGATTTGTGTAAGATTGTAAGCTGTTGTGCTGCACCGCAGCCTAGCCCATACCGTACACCCATACACTGATTCCTGCTCTTTTAGGGTAATAATGGGTAAGGTGTGGCAGCTTTTAGTTGTGCCTGCCAGTTGGTAAATTACTACACTTTCTACCTTCATCCATCAGAAGGCGCTGTGCTGTGCAACACAAGGGTCTCAGCCTTTGGGCTGGGTGTATGTAAATTTATTGTATGTTTCCAGCATTTGTGGTTGTGTGTTATTTGCCACATCTAAGTAAAATTCTGTTGTGGCAAAAGCTGGTGTCGGGGTTGCCTTCCTCGTTCGTGACTTCACTGTATCCTGGGGAGCCCACCCCGGTACACGGCTTACAGGTGCGCAGTCATGTTGGAACAGGGGAGGGCCATCCCCAAACTGTTCCCACAAAGTTGGGAGCATGCAATTGTCCAAAATGTCTTGGTATGCTGACACCTTAAGAGTTCCCTTACTGGAACTAAGGGCCAAACACAGCCCTTCAAAAACAGCCCCACACCATAATCCCCCCTCCACCAAACTTTACACTTGTCACAATGCAGTCAGGCAAGTACCGTTCTCCTGGCAACCGCCAGATCCAGACATGTCCATCGGATTGCCAGATAGAGAAGCATGATTGGTCACTCCAGAGAACACGTCTCCACTGCTCTAGAGTCCAGTGGCGGCATGCTTTACAACACTGCATCCGACGCTTTGCATTGCACTTGTTGATGTAAAGCTTGGATGCAGCTGTTCAGCCATGGAAACCCATTCCATGAAGATCTCTACGCACTGTTGTTGTACTGATCTGAAGGTCTCATGAAGTTTGGAGGTCTTTAGCTATGGACTCTGCTAGAGTTGGGAGAGTTGGAAGCTTTTGAGTACTGTGCGCTTCAGCATGTGCTGACCCCACTCTGTCATTTTATGTGCCCTACCACTTTGTGGCTGAGCTGCTGTTGTTCCCAGTTGCAAGTAGTAGTAGCAAGGAAATTTCATGGATGGACTTATTGCACAGGTGACAATCTATCAGGGTACCATGCTTGAATTCACTGAGCTGCTGAGAGTGACCCATTCTTCAACATATGTTTATAGAAGCAGTCTGCATGCCTAAAGGCTGGCCATACATTATACAATTATCTGGAGATTTTTGGTTTAGATTTACCAAAAACCATATAATAGGAGGACAAACCTAAACAACACTTTCAGTTGTATCCAATTAGGCAGGCCCTTGCACTACACAGTTGAAGGTAAATCTAAAGGAAATTGGGCAGAAAATTGGAAGATAATTGTATAATGTATGGCCAGCCTAAGTGCTTGATTTTATACACCTGTGGCCATGGAGGTGACTGGAACACCTGAATCCAATGATTTGGAGGAGTGTCCCAATACTTTTGGCAATATAGTGTATATATACCATAGTTTGTAGACACAATAAATTTTCACACAAACCAATTAATAAGCACTTATTGGGATTTTTTTTTTACCAAAGAAATGTAGCAGCATATATTTTGGTCTAAATGTATGACGAAATGTGATTTTATTGGATATGTTTTATAACAGAAAAGTAGAAAATATTTTTTTTGTCTTTTTTTGTTTATATTGCAAAAAATCAAAAACCCAGTGGTGATCTAATACCAACAAAAGAAAGCTCTATTTGTGGGGAAAAAATGAAAAAAATGTAATTTGTGTACAGTATTGCATGACCACACAATTGCCAGTTAAAATAGCATCCTGGTCATAAATGGGGTAAAACCCTCTGGAGCTCAAATGGATTTAATATATACAGTGTATGTAAGGTACACACACACACAAATTTATATAAAGAAGCACAGTCCTGTTTGTGTGATGACATTGCTCGATCTTCATAATTAGACATCTGTTGCATAATAGTTATCTTCAGGTACAGAACAAAGAACCATGTCATCAGGGCTGTGTGCACAATTCCCTTCAACTTCAACTGCTTCTTCACCTAGAGACAGTTGGTGAGTTTGTGAAGGAGTGGAAGAATGTGGGGACGATGAGCTTTTTCTGGCTTTTCAACTTCTAAAAGCCAGAAAAGAAAAGCCAACCTATCGCCCAATAATTGCCACACATAGACAATCAGCTACAGAGCCCAGAAGTATCATATTGGGATGGCTGTGGCACTTGCAGAGGGTGCAGGGTGTGGGTGGGACTGTCACCCTACATTGCCAGGGATGCTACAAGAGATGCTCCTTGTTTGCCGTGGACAGATGCCTCAAAATCAGAACATGACCCAAGGAGAGTGCGGCCATCGGCCGATAGGAGTGGAGGAGGCATTCCTGACAGACAGTAGCTGAAGGGAGGCAGGGACTGTTGATGCAGGATCGTAGAAGACGATGCTAACATTCAGCTGGCTTTTACATTTGCTTAAGCTGCACTTCTGATATTTTCAGCCAAGGGCATGTTTTGGATGGATATATTTTGTAACAGAAAGTAGAAAATATGGTTTTGAGCATGGACATGTGATTAATTATACATTTAAGTCATATCTAAAAGCAAGAACAAACATTTATATATTGCAGTTTGCCAGCCCTTAGATGGAGTGTCTGTATTTTTTTTTTTTTTTTCATTTTTCAAACTAAGAAAATTTTCTACAAGTACAGAAATTCCTATTGATCTCAACAAAATGCTGTGTGTCCTTGTCACATCATGGAGTCAAAAATAATGTTATTTTCCTTTTGTAAACTACAGTATTTTCTGGCGTATAAGACTACTTTTTATACTTAAAAATATACCCCAAAAATTGGGGGTCGTCTTTTACGCGGGGTATAAAATGTGAACCTTGATTTTGTTTGGGTCAAGCTGGCTGGATGTGTGGTAATACTGTACATACAGTATACTGTGCTGAGCCAAGCTGGCTCAAAACAAATGTTCCTATGACAGATTAATCTGTCAGCCCGCTGGATGTTCGGTATATACAGTATAGTGCGCTGAGCCAAGCGGTTTCAAAACGTACCGGTACGTCCCTACTGTAATCAGCCCGCTGGATGCGTGTATGTACGGTAGCTGCGGATACATACAGTATACACTGGGCCAATCATGGCGAGCGATGTATTCTACTAATGAATACGAAGCCTGCTCGGATTGGCTGAGGTTGTGACATCATCAGCCCACCTCTCTGACTCAGCCAATCCGAGCAGGCTTCGTATTCATTAGTAGAATACATCGCTCGCCGTCATTGGCCCAGTGTATACTGTATGTAGCCGCAGCTACCGTACATTCACGCATCCAGTGGGCTGATTACAGTTGGAATGTACCGGTACGTTTTGAAACAGCTTGGCTCAGTATACTGTATATACCACTGTGGTATATACTCAGTATACTGTATATACCACACATCCAGCGGGCTGACAGATTAATCTGTCACAGGGACATTTGTTTTGAGCCAGCTTGGCTCAGCACGGTATACTGTATGTACATTACTGCACATCCAGCGGGCTGTATATATACTGTATACTGTATGTAGCCGAAGCTACCGTATTACCGGACATCCAACGGTAACCATCTGATTTGGAATTTGATCCATATGATGACTGTCTTACAAATGTATCACAAGATGTCATTCATGAACTTCTGATGTCAGAGGATGAACATGAGGATTTTGAAGGATTTTAAGTACCGGTAAGTGATAACCATTTCAATTAAAAAATGTTGATGTTTTAAAATGGTGTTGCCAAATGGTGTTGTTAAATGGTGAAGGGGGGTAGTCTTATACGGCGAGTATAGCCCAAAACCTATGTTTTAACTGGAAAATTAGGTGGTCATCTTATACACCCTGTCGCCGGAAAATACGGTACTTATCCCCCAATGTAATGGGAATGAAGAGGGGAAGCTATGTTTGATGTCCAGCCTGGGTGACAATTAAGGCTCTCTCCATTGTTATAGTGGAGTGAGTGTAGCCATCCTAGGACAAAAAAGTGTTATTCACCAGGTAAAAATACATTTTAAAAAACCTGTAAAAAAAGAAAACTAATGCACCCACAATATATCTATGGATGAGGCTAACAACAGCTGCAAGCTTGTTTAGAACATGATAAACTTAAATATAGCACTAGTACTGCTGGTAGATATCAAATAGCTTCACATGCAAGTTTTGCTTTACTAGTGTGAAATGAATTAAGCACTTACGCCTGAAATTGAGTATTAATTTCAGAAGTGCTAAAGCTCAGTTTACAAATCTTTAGTAAATCAAAGACATTATATGTACTTTACTTTGTGCTCCATGAAACCTAATCAATTTCTGTTCAGTGTCTACCATTCACACTACTTCTAATCTCCTATTGATGTTTATTATGCCTTTTCTAAGGTCAGACCTATCTTATTGTCTCTTTTCTTTCACCTCACAACTTGAACCTTCTTATGTGCCTTTTATTTGCTGTGTACTGCTAAGAACCATACAGAAAGACACTGGGTTTTTTCTTTTAAGATAAATTCACTGCAATCAGCCTGCATTGATTTTACCGCAGGTTGGCAGCCAAGAAACATTTTTAGAAATAATCTTTCATTCTGTTTCCCTGTTTCCTCTTTCTTTGCTAACCTTACCTGAAAGCAATTCCCTATTCCCATATACACGTGGAGAAAATTGTCAGCATATTTATTATAATGGTTTGAATCTTAATTGTATGTCTTTGTTCTACCTGCTGACAAATTATAATAATGGCGAGTGTTTGACATGTTTTTCAGAGGTATTGATTTGGAAGGTGACTTTGTTTCATTTGGCTGTAACCTCTTTATGAGTTAAAGAAATTGCCTGTCAAAGGTATGAGAAATTCAGTATATGCAGTCAAACACATTCATATAAGGAATTTAACATTTTTCATGAATTAAACTCAAATGTTTAAATCTAATCAAATAAATAATGCTGTTATGATGCTTGTTATGAATAGAATATCCAGACAAAAAAAATCATACATAGGTTAAAAAAAAATAATAATAATAATATATATATTACTATATACATACTATATTTATATGTTTAGGCTGTCAAATGATCTCTAGTTTTGTTCAGCTATTCTTGTAACAGAGATGATAATGCTATTTTCCTAAGCCAATCTACGAGGAAAACATAGCATTTCATCTCCTCATTCCTCCAGCATTTTTAAATACCTGGCAAAGCAATTCTATACTCATTTAAGTCTGCCACCCATGTCCCTCACAGGTGCCATTGTAGAGTGTGGGAGACCAATAATCCAGTACTGTAGATATGCATGTACCAGTCAGTCCCCGTGTAAGGCTCACACCAGTGTCATCACGTCAGTCCATCTTCTGGATCCTAAGGCTCCTTTACACAGAGCAGAGTCTCTTTCCAGTCAGCAGGGAATCCATGTGCAGATTTCCTGCTGAATCAGAGATGAACAGGACAGATGTAATTTTTGTTTATATCTGTGCCTGTTCAGTTTGTATCCAGTGGACACTGGTGGACCCATGACAGCTCTATGGATAGTCAGGTTGTAAAGGATTCCATTGTCCATTTACATCAGGCTACCTCCAATGAGCCATATTTAGGTCTACAAAAAAACAGAAAAGGATGCAGTCCATTTTGATTTTGTTTTCCAAACCTGGATGGACTTAGAGGTAGTTAGATGTAAAAGGACAGAAGTCTGTTTATATCTAACTGTCCATAGGGCTGCATGGAGCAGCTGAAAACTGAAAGGTGGATGTGGCTGGAATACTGGTATGAAAGGGGCCTAAGAGGACCCCAGTGCTGACAGAGCAGGGGGTCAAAGAAAGATGCTGTGCAGGTGCCCAACTTCCTTGTTATCAACTTACATCAGCAGCTGTTAGGATGCTGGTGGCTGGACCATACAGTGCCCAAGGTTGTTACACACTGAAAACCTGTGGCTTTGTGTAATAAAATGGAGGCTTAATTCATCCACTGGCTTGTACACAATTTTTGGGTAGTTTGGGGCAATTTTTAGGCATTTTGCCAAGGCACCCCTGAAGAACCCATAAGGCACCCCAGGGTGCCTTTGCACCCTGGTTGAAAAAGTCTGAGATAACTTTTACATTTATTATTCATATTTTAGTGTACTTTTGCAACTAGTCACTCCAGCAAACAGGTGGTTGAGGAAACCAATCCTAAAGATTAA